CAAGTACACTATTGTGTACAATTTAATTTACACTTTGTAAACTGGCATTACTCTCTTGGACAATTTAAATTTCAAACGGTTTCCCATCCAATTGACACTTGACAACAATGCGAGTGTCAAACATCGTGTCAAAAATCAGTGTACAAATAGCAAAGTTCAATCGATAAGAACCTTGCTACAAGTACACTATGTTGTACACTTTAGTTTACACTTTGCCACGTGACATTACCCTATTAGACAGTTTAAATTTCAAATAGGCTTCCCATCCAATTGACACTGGACAACAATGCAAGTGTCAAACAACGTGTCAAGAATCAGTGTACAAATAGCAAAGTTCAATTAGTAAGAACCTTGCTACATGTACACAATGGTGTACACTTTAGTTTATACTATACTACGCGACATTAGCCTGCTAGACAGTTTAAATTTCAAACTGTCTTCCCATCCAATCGACACTTGACAACAAAGCGAGTGTCAAACAACGTGTCAAAAATTAATGTACAAATAGCAAAGTTCAATCATTAAGAACCATGCCACAAGTATACTACTTTGTACACTTTAGTTTACACTTTGCCACGTGACATTACCCTATTAGACAGTTTAAATTTCAAATAGGTTTCCCATCCAATTAACACTAGACAACAATGCAAGTGTCAAACAACTTGTCAAAAATCAGTGTACAAATAGCAAAGTTCAATCAATAAGAACCTTGCTACATGTACACTATGGTGTACACTTTAGTTTACACTTTGCCACGTGACATTACCCTATTGGATTTCAAACAGTTTTCCCATCCATTTGATACTTGACAACAATTCAAGTGTCAAACAACATGTCAAAAATTAGTGTACAAATAGCAAAGTTCAATCGGTAAGAACCTTTCTACATGTACACTATGGTGTACACTTTAGTTTACACTTTACCACGTGACATTACCCTGTTGGACAGTTTAAATTTCAATCATTTTTCACATCCAATTGACACTTGACAACAATGCAAGTGTCAAACAACGTGTCAAAAATCAGTGTACAAATAACAAAGTTCAATCGGTAAGAACTTTGCTACATGTATACTTTGGTGTACACACTTTAGTTTACAATTTGGCACGTGATATTACCCTGTTGGATAGTTTAAATTTAAAAGAGTTTTCCTATCCAATTGACACTTGACAATAATGCAAGTGTCAAAAAATGTGTCGAATATTAGTGCACAAATTGCAAAGTTCAATCAGTAAAAACCTTGCTACATGTACACTATGGTGTACACACTTTAGTTTACACTTTACCACGTGACATTACCATGTTGGATAGTTTAAATTTCAACCAGTTTTCCTATCTAATTGAGACTTGACAACAATGCAAGTTTCAAACAACGTGGCAAAAATCAGAGTACAAATAACAAAGTTCAGTCGGTAAGGACCATGCTACATGTACACTATGGTGTACATTTTGGTTTACGCTTTGCCACGTGACATTACCCTACTAGAAAATTTTTATTTCAAACTGTTTTTCCACCCAATTGACACATGACAACAATGCAAGTGTCAAACAACGTGCAAAAAATCAGTGTACAAATATCAAAGTTCAATCGGTAAGAACGATGCAACAAGTACACTATTATGTACACTTAAATTTTCACTTTGCAACGTGACATTACCCTATTAGAAAATTTAAATGTCAAATAGTTTCCCATTGAAAAGGTTAGCTAAATATTGGAGATTGGCTTGATAAGAAATGGAATATCGAAAAGGTCGGAAATCGGTATCGACAAAAGTTCAAGCTTTCTATTCGGTTGATCGAGACCACCTTAAACCCTAGATAGGTAATTGACATATTTGGGACATGATACATAAAGGAACATGATCATGATGCGATAATATATGTCTCATATGACATTATAAATATCGAGGTGCGATTTGATGAAATCGGTCGAGAATGGGGTGTCAATCAGGTAAGTAATTAAATGAACAATTGAGGAATTAGCTCTATAAAATATTTTGGGATCTTAGGGAAAGTGAAATGGATTGTAAACATATTAACATAAGCCCAGGACACTTGATTTATACCTGCAAAGATAGATATAAAATTAGATTTTTTACTAGTGACCACCTCATGCTTTTAATATTTATCATTTTAACACCCAATTCCTTTAACCTTAAGGCATCAATCTCCTGTCCTACTCCTTAAGAACTTATTATAGGATGAATATATATCTTATAATCATAAATGGATCCAAATATAATGGTTGAAAATCAAGTATGGCTATAATGAAGACACGTCGTGCTTGGCACCTCATGCTTGGGATAGTTGTCATTTTAACACTCAATCCCTTCATCCTTAAGATATATAGCACGTCTCCTACCTCATTTTATTTAATATAGATAGATATATATATCTTATAAATCAATTTAAGTTAAATAGTCCAAGAGAAAAGTCAAATATAGTAGGAAAAGACCACCTCATGCTAAACACTTGGCCGCACCCCACATTTTCTTAATCCTTAAGGAAGAGTCACGTCTCCAGCATCTTGAAGACTTTATATACACCTCCTAACAACATGTTTAGTCTTACAAATTATCCCCAATTGAGCACCGATTGAAAGAGAAAGCAAAAAGGAAAAGAGAGAAGTAGAAACAGGGAGCTGAAATTGAATTTTTGGATAGGTGAGTTTAGCCCACGGTTTTGAAGTTTTTCTTTAGTTCTTTTGCTTGTTTTATAATATGTTTAAACTATAAACTTACTTGAGGCTAAGTATAAGGGTTTTTTATGATGGCAAAAGAGAGGGGTAATTGAGTACAAGAACCTGAAAGAAACCAACAGGAATAGAGATGTGTTGATTGATGAATTTGGATGCTTTAAACTTTGATTTTGGATAATACTGAAGATATAACTTGTATCTATGTAAATGAATGTTGTTATATGGGATTTATAAGGATATAAATGGTCTTCTAATATCCTGGAATCTGTTTGATGACATGCTAATAAAATGGAAACCGAAAGCTGTCACAATGAAAACTGCCTGATTTTGATGTCGTGGAAATGGACTATTTTGATGCTGAGAACACTTTATTTGTCACGACTTTAGAGCATTATTACCTTCACATAAATGTTATAGAAACGTGGTAAAAATTTGGGAGTCATTGGATCTGGATAAGGGGGTGAAAACGGATTGGAAAAGTAGTTGGATGGTGATGAAACCTGAAAAACAGGTTCTGTCCATTTATGTGTTTAATATGATTTCAACCTTTACATGTAAATTAATTATCTCTTGGGCTTAGAAAATAGATTCTAAGGAATATTAGGCTGTTGACAACAATTGGATGACGTTGATGTTGGTAATTGGACTCGAGGAAAAATGAGGCTTATGGGACGAGATTGTAATGCCGTTAGTAACTTGAATACTGAATTCCTTTAAATTTTTTTGACGTGAATGGAAGTATTTTGTGTGTGTTAAGGCTATTAAATGGAGGATTGTCTTTAATATTAATTGGTAATACAGGTGATTTTCCAACGTTGAGTGAAAAAACAAAGTGATATAATCTCCGTAAGAGCTTGTGCACACACAAGGGCAAAAAGGTAAGTAAAAATCCATTTGCAACTATGATGCAAGAACCTAGCATTTGTAGTATAGTGATGTTAGGATATTTTCATACTTTGATAAGAAAGCTCGTTGTACCCTATATGATGATTATGATCATTGAGTATGCGGTTGCAAAATACATTGACATCAACTTCCATTAAGCATGTCATTCATGAGCATTTTCGTTGGCATGCACAACATATGATCATGGTTGAAAACTTTACATGCGAAACATGATTTCAAAGTAAGTTTTCTTTATAAATGTTTTATTGACCACTACTAGGGCATCGAGGCATGTGAGGCATGCTTATGTGATATGTTTGGCATCGCGGGTGATACTTCCTGGGTGATTGCAAAGGTAGACAGCGGATGGGCCTTTGGTGATCACGGGAGGGCGGACCACTCGACTATGCCCTTGTTATGATTATTGGCGCTGCCGAGTGGGAGACTTCTTGGGTGATCATAGGGGTAGTTAGGGGATGGGCCTCTAGCGATCACGAGAGGATGGTCCACTCGTCGGTGTCAATTTCATATTGGCCACTTGATTATTGATATTGATATTATGCAGAGCTCTATCCGGTGCATAGTTGGTGGGTCAAGGGCCCAATGAAATGAAATATTTCAAATGAATTTTGAGTCGACTTTGATGAATATTGGAATATGATGCATCTTTAGCATGATGTTTAAAGTAAATGACATGATGTCACATATCCTTGTTACTCATACTCATGACATGCATGATTCTTGCTTACTAAGCATTGGCTTATGTAGTTCTTGCATTGTAGGTGAGCATGGAACTATGTAGAGGGCACGGCTAGCTGTGGAACTCTTACGGGATTCCAAAGATCAATGTACATGGATGACGACCTGTAGGGTTATTTTGTGGGCTATTGTTTTGAGCTTACACTCTATTGTGTCGTATTTTGGGGGTCCTGTCTTGTATAACTTTTGAAATGGCCTATAGATGTGTTTATAACCTTAGAACATACGTGTTGGATTATGGTTATATGATCGTTGATTTTTATATAATATATGATCATCACAGGTGATTTGAAGTTAACAAATAGGGACATAATTGTGCAAATGCTCGTTTCATTTTATTAAAAAAAAAGTATATCTAAATTTTATGTCTAGATCGAGTTACCAATATCATTTCGACATATGAATTAGTATGGTTATTTGTATATATTTGGGGTGTGAGAGAGAGTGGTATCAGAGCAAGGTTATAATTCTGTAGACTATCCATGTACATGATATCGGAGTACGAAAAAGCACAGCTAAGCCTGTAAGTTTTATTTGTCGCATTATTTTTGCATATTTCATGAATGATATTGGCCAACCTTTATTTGCAACCATGGTGAGAACCAAAGATGCTAGTAGTAGTAGATCTAGAACTCCAGGGTAAGAGGCATCTGTTCAAGATGACAGTCGGGATGTTGATATTAAGACTAACGGAACTAGTTGAGCGACAATCTCAACAAATTCAGCAATTAATACAACGAGGAGAAAGGGGAGAACATCAAAGGGCTGAATTCATACAACCACAACAAAGGGCTAAACATTTTGAGGCAGTTGGGGAAAGATTTAGAAAACTAAACCCTCCAATATTTGAGGATGCATTAGACCCAACAGCTGTAGAGGATTGGTTGAGAACTTTGGAGAATATGTTCAGGTATACGAGAGTTTCGGAAGTAGAAAAAGTAGAGTGTGCATCCTTTATGCTACGAGGTAGTGTTAGACACTGGTGGGATACGATGAGTAGTATTGAAGATGTAAATACCATGACTTAGGATAGATTTAAAGAGTTATACCGTAATAAATATTTTACAGCCCCAGTTCGAGCCATGAAGATGAATGAATTTATACAGCTAAGACAAGGAGGGATGACAGTGGGGGAGTATATTCGTAAATTTGAACAACTATCTAGGTTTCCAACCCACATGATTAATACTGATGCATTAAAAGTAGAAAGGTTTCTTGAGGGGTTAAGACCAGAACTATATAGAGATGTAATTATGGTAGGAATCCAAGATGTTTCATATTCTCAAATTGCAGAGAGAGCATTAGTTGCTGAACAAGCTGAACAAAGAATTAGTCGTGCTCAAGAGGCTCGACGACAGTTTAGGCAAGGTCAAGGACAGCGTTGGCCTAGAAATGATAAGAAAAGAACTTTCCAAGGACAGATTCAGAAACCTAAGTTTCAACCGAGAGAAGGACAACAACATTGGGATCAGGGCAAACGTCTGAGGATAGATCAAGGAAAAGCCTTAATAGCACAACCATCTTGCCCTAGATGTGGTGGATAGCATACTGAAGCATGTCCTATAGAGACTGGGACATGTTATATTTGTGGAAAGGTGGGACATCTTGCTAGAGCATGCCCAGGTAATCCAAATCATCCTATAGAGCAGAAGAAGGTACCAGCTAGAGTGTTTACCATTACTAGATCCGATGCTGAGGCAAATCCATCAGTTGTAACAGGTAAATTTTATATCTTTTGCATTCCAGCACTTGTACTACTTGATTCTGGAGCTACACATTCATTTGTTTCTACCGAGTATGTGAGAAGGCTGGGTAGGACACCTGATATACATGAGCTTAGTTATAGTGTAACTATTCCACCTGGAGATGTACAACAAACCAATCTAATTGTAAGAGCATGTACGATCCTTACAGAAAATCGAGAGTTCTATGCAAATTTAATTGTGTTAGATATGAAAGATTACGATATAATTTTGGGTATGGATTGGCTGTCAAGATATCAAGCTACTATAGACTGTAAGAGAAAGTCAGTAACCTTTCAATTTTTAGGGATTAAACCATTTACATGCATTGGGATCGAAAAAGGTTTTAGAGTTCCAATCATATCGGTATTGAAAGCACAAAGGTTACTAGATAGGGGGTGTGTAGGGTATTTGGTGAGTATTATGGCTATGGAAGCACAACACAATCCGAATCTTAAGAATTTCCAGAGGTATTTCTTGATGATTTACCTGGGGTACCACTAGATTGTGAGATAGAGTTTGTAATTGATTTAATTCCAGGAACATCTCCAATTTCCAAGACTCCATATAGAATGGCCCCAACTGAATTGAAAGAGTTGAAGTTACA